CTCCTCCATAAATAATCTTCAGCAGCATGCAGAAGAATAAATATTATAACTGAATTATACAGTGCCTTGCTGATATTTAATTGATTTGAGAAGAAAAAACTTCAACTACTGAATAAAGTCAAGAGTTTTTTTAAAAAAACTTGAATCCTATCATTTGAAATTGGTCACTAGAGTATAAGTGTCAAATTTATAAGTGTTTCTTTAAATTTCTTTAATTGTCCCTTTTATATGAACATTTGGGATCACACTTCACCAACTGTTCCTCCAAAACAAAGGTCTTTGATATTATTAAATACATAAAAGTGGAAAATATGCCTGCGCCACCTTGGGACATGTAGAATAATCAGTCCTTGAAGGAATAAAAGAACCTCACCAAATCCTGGCCCCAGGCACTAGCTCTACTCCAGAATAAATCTTTATCTAAAGATAAACACCCCAAGGTAGATAAAATGAAATTACATTGAGAGGTTGGAAGAGGTGTCTAGAAAAGGTGAAAAGGTTCTGGCAGTCCCTAAGTTGAAACAGGTCAATTTTCATTAGCTACAAAGACTTGGGACCACTCAGGCCTTTGGGTCTCCCATGAGCTCTTGAAATTAGAGTCAGCAGTTCAGCACAATCACAAGTGCCCTTTCTTTCCTTGCTTTCTTTAGGACTTGCATTTCTCTCTCCTCACAGGCCTGGTCCTCTCAACAATGATCTGGACCTCTGTGACTGCTGAACTGGATTACTGCAATGCAGAATTAAACTCAAAAACTCATGCTCCATACCATCTTGTGGGCTTTAGAGTCTTTGTGGAAAGAAGTACCAAATGTCTATGCTCGTAGTCTGCTTTAGCATCCAGTTTGTTCTGGTGGCCACAGGAAGGGTGCACTTTGATCTGTAAAGTCTGCAGTGGTCTCAGGACCAAAGGCCCATTTAATTTCCTACTCTCTCTTACATTGGAAGATAGATCAAGTGAGGTCTTTTCTATTCCTGGCTCCATTTAAATTTCTTAAGATACAAGATTTCACTTCAACAAACTGTGTTAGGCACAAGGAATACAAAGATTAAATACCTTAAAGGAGCTTATAATTTAGAAAAGGGAAAAGATTTGCACAAAAGTAACTATAATACAAGTTAGAACATATATAGGAGATTTAAGGTGGAAAGGATAACTTGTAAACAGCTCAAGAAGCAATCGCGGAGGAGGTAGTATCCATAGTAGCTAGTACGTGAAGGATTTCAATAGTTAGAAATGGTGGACTGGAAATGGGAGGGGTTGAGAAGAGAGGTTTGGAGTGGAGAAGAGGGGCCACTCCAGGCCTCTGGGACAGTCTGGGCAGTGCTCAGGAAAGGCCCCAGTTTACTAGCCCAATGTCTTCAAAGGTTCTTCCTTTGGTGTAGTATGTTCTAAAAAGTGCCAACTGTAATGTTACCTCAGTGAAATTCTTAAAGACCTGTTTGATCAGGAATTACCTAAGGATGATGATTATGCCCACAAATAACTAAATTATCCCTAGGAATAGTAAAAAGGAAAAATGAAATTCAATAACCTCATTCACCAAACCGTTCGCTAGAAATGTAAACAATGAGTAAAATGAGCAGCCAAAGAAAACAAGAGGAGAAAAGAGATATAATGTCCATGAAATCAAAGCAAGATTACAGAATTATAGATTTAGGACTGGAAGGGAAATTAGAGGCCATTTAGTCCAAGGCCCTCATTTAACAGATGAGGAAACTGAGGCCCATATAACTTACAGAGGATTTAAAGGAAAAGCATTATCCAAAGTCAAATGATTACATTAACTATTATTTTTTAACTGAGATATAAGCTTTTTTATTGACCCTCACCACGAACTGATTAAACATAATTTTAGATTGTTAACTGACTGAGCTTTAGAAGTCTGCTTATGTTAAAGTCTCTTCAAAGATTTTGCTCTGTGAAGTATTCTCCAAATAAATTGAGACCATAGATCTGAATTCTGTGTAGCCCTGGAAGGCTTAAGTAGGTCCTCTGGGTACAAATTACAAGGAGGCAGACTTTCATTTAACATGAGATTTGCCTTTGCTAATATTTAGAGCCATCCAAAAACTAAACAGATGTTTCATGAAGTAGTAAGCTTCTCATTAAGAGAAGTTTTGATTGGAGGTTGGAATGACCATCAACCAGGGATGCTACAAAAATATTCCTACCTTGAATGGAAAGCTGGAAGATGACCTCTGTGGCAAGTTTATTTATTAGGGCTTTTTAATTCATTCTTAGAACTGTTTCAAATTCTGCTGGTCATATATATATGTGTATATATATATATACACACACACACACATACATACACACACACATATATATATATTATACACACACACACACACATTTGAAAACATATGTCAAACTCTTAAGATTTTAAAGAGGTGACAGATTTAAAAGTATAAAGTTCCTGCTATCTCTTGACATACGTTGCAATTTAATAGCATAATCTTGCAAATATCTTGACTTAAAAAGGTATATCATACAGAGAATTGCATGAGATTTAGTTATTTTAAAACTACTTTGAATTTTATTTTTAAAAGAAAAGGGTTTTCTGAAAGCTACTGAATGCATGCTATTGATCCATAAAACCAAAGCATCTACCCAGGTGATTTTCTGGTCTCCTGAGTAAATACTGATTTAGGCAGTTTTGTAATAAAACCTCCTGAGAAATGAGAATTTCTTTTTAGAGCCATTGTGAGCTGTTGAAGACATACATAATTTCTTTAAATGCTCCTCTGGAGATGCTGTGGTTTATTGGATGACCGCAGTTTTCCATGTAAATCCATCATTCATACTGTCATGCCAGTAATACAGAAACTTGTATTAATATCCATTATGTAAAGGTCAATGCATATACACTAGCCAGCAGCCAGTTTTTAAATGCTAATAATTCAGTTATTTTTTAAATATATAAACAAAAGAAAAGGTCTTATCTGACATTATGAATTCTTTCCCTGATAAGAATAAAAATATTTGAAACCAAGAAAAATATGTGATGAGTTGAACTTGAAAACAGCTTCAAAGCAGAGGAGTTTCACGGTAATAAATGTAAATGAGCACAACACAAAGAGACAAAATACACAGGATATGAAGAGCAGTTAGTCCTTAGCAGTTCACGTATGCATCAGGGGACATTTTCATCCCAAACTGGCCTTGACTCGCCACCTGTCTGTTGGCTTATGGGGTCCTTCCCATCATCTTCAGTTGCTGCGTGTGCTGTGGAAGCAAAGCTATTTTATACTAACTGAGGGAAATGTGCTTATGGACAGTTCTCCAAAGTAAGCCAGATTCATTTGTTGGGATAGTTTATAGTTTTGCTTATTGTGAGCCATGGCTTATCTCCATTAGGATGAATACATGAGAATTTATTATGAAACCAACTTCCAAACGTGTTTTTGAAAAAATGAGGGGAAACTTCAATGGAAGAATCACTTGAGTATTTTATAACGTGGAATCTGATGCCAGGAAAGTTCATAAACAAAACTCTCTTTTTGTATGAACTGAAACAACCATGTGAAATAATGAATGAATGAAAATTATGTGACACTTTCTGATATGGATGTCTTGTAACACTTAGTTCAAACCCATTACCAAAAACAAGACATCCAAAGATAATTTAGTACTGAAAGTCCTTCTAGCTTGGCAGGCCCAACACGAGCTTAGGCTTCTCTAGCATTCTTTTTTGAGAACTGAGGCTTACACCCCTATCCCAGTGAGGCTGCGAAGAAGGCTGAAATAAAGAATACTGAAACTTATTCAATCTTCTCTTCATACTCTTCTGCATTCTCACTACTTATGAGTAAATAGCAGTGTCTTTGGAAAGCAACTAACTAGGCCTCAGTGAGTGTGCTTTGATCCTTTGATCAGGCCTCACTCAGTTCAGCTGACAGAAATCTATAACTGGAGAAGGGACCAGGAATAAAGTGATGCATATGACTAAAGCTGTAGAAAAGAAGGTAGTGGAAAGAATTAGAACTCTTTAACCTGGAGAAGAAAGAGTTAGAAAACTTGGTAAAAACCCCATTCTTGACATTTATGAAGCATCTGTAGAAGAGGAATGTGCCTAGCTTCTGCTCCTCTCCACAAATGATAGCTGAAGAGGTATAAAAGTTAATGAGAGCAGGAAAATTTCAGCTGGGCATGAAGCATCCCTTCTTGTGTAGATAGTCAAATGTGGATTCCTAGAGCTGTTTAAAAGATCCAGAGACCTTTTCAGAACCTCGCTGTAACCTAATTTCTAGATAGAGTGAGGCCTAAAGATGTGGCGGGAGAAGGATAGCGACGGACTACATCCCTGAAGACTATTGGTTGGTTTGGCTTTAGTGCAGGCAGGACACAAGGTGGGTTAGGGAGGGAAAGACAGACAGAGACATGGTATCCAAGGCACCATAATTCTATTGCTGCTGCCGAGAAGCCAGGGGGTGGGAGGAAGAAGCAGGGCAAGACAAAGGTGGGAGAAGCTCTGGCCAACTGTAGGGCATGTTGAGGAAAAGAAGCATACCTTGTGACAGCTTCCTATTTAGCACCTGATCTTAGCTTGACTAGGCCAGTAATGATGCAACTTCCTATCTAATTAACTATTCTCAATATCTAGACATTAAATTCAGTTATGCTTTCTAAGTTTCAGTGCCCTGGGACAAAGGCCACCCTCGCCCTAACCCTAATCATAGCTCTATGGGTAATGGTTTTTAGTGCTATGCTAATGTTTTGTTTTTTAAATCACAGTAATGCATGAAACTCTTTATTAAAATGCAGAAAGTACCTGTGATGTATTTTGGAGGAAGGGATACCCTACCACTGAAATGAATAAATGAAAAGCATTTATACAATAGTGAGTTCTATATTATAGCTATAAAAACATGAAATCTTAGCATTAGTGAAATGAATTGACCACTGTATTAAATGGCAGATTTTTGTTTTGTAGACAAAATCTAACCAGCCGATTCTCAACAGCATTACAGTCAGAACTTGGCTCCAAGAAAACTCTTACCTTGTTCATAGAGCAGCTTCATATTCGACTCTTTGTAGGCAACCAGGTTATTGAGTAGGGCGATGACACTCTGCATGGTGTTGCCCAGAATGCTTTCCTGGTGTTCCTGCAACAAATATTCATTGCTATTACAATCACACCCACAGACAACCATGGCACTAATAAAGATGAATGAGCAAATGATCATCCCCAACGTCCTTCCATAGGGTTTAATGATTATCTTTGATAGCTTAATGAAGCAAATTCTCCTCAGTGCCTAAGACATTCATTGGTAGGAAGTCAGTTGTTCTAGGAAGCCTGTTAACTCATTTCAATGAACCAAACAGTAACCTCATGGCTCAAAAAAAAAATGTGTTGGGAAGATGACAGATGAGCCAGAAATAAGTGGATTCCAGCATGTGGCTCTAGGAGGTTTAGATGATGGCACTTCAAATGGCCCTTGAAAGAACAAAGCCAAAGAGGAATGGAAAAATGAGCCTAATAAAGGACCACAGAGTATTGGATTTAGAGTTGGAAGAGAATCTAGAAGCCACTGAGTGAAGTCACTTATTTTATGGGTGAGGAAGTGAGGCCTGGGAGGTTACGTGACCTGGTCAGGGTGACACAGATAGCAAACAGGAGAACCAAGATTTGAACCCATCTCCTCAACAGTCCTTCTACTGAACCATCCTGAGCATGAAGGGGGCAAAGAATCAGCAATGACTCAAAACTCTTTAACTTCTATCTTGCCCAAACGATCTGTGCTTCATTGATTTGGGCACGTGCTCCAGCAAAGCAGATTCTGTGCCTTAGGAGAAGGTCTTGTGGGCTGTAATAGCAATAACAATCCATCTGGAGGCCCACCTTCTAATAAGAAACAGTAACAATAATGATGACAAACAGCATTTCTGTAATGATTAAGGTCTGCCAAGCACTTTACATATGTAAATTTATTTGATCTTCACCACAACCCGGTGAGGTGGATGTTATTATTATTTCCATTTTACAGATGAAAAAACTGGGATGAAGAGAGGTGAAGTATCTTGCCCAGGGCCTTCCTGGCTCCAGATCTATCCATTATGCTACCTAACTCAGAGGGCAGACTCAGCTGAACCATGTCGTTAGAACCACTCTGTTGGCCTGGTTCTCAAGAACCCAAGGGGTTCACCATCTACTTCACGATAAATCATTGTAGTAGAACTTTAGTGGAGAAATCCCTTATTACTGCAGCAGCAACTTGGAAATGTAGTTTTCTCCTCCCATATTTGAATTAACTTTTCTATGTATTTTGAAATTTAGCCTTACTTTATAAAGGAAAGGCTATAGGATATGGACAGTAAGTCAGGAGACGTCCCTTTGAGTTCTAGCTCAATGAGTTGTGTGTGAGAGAGACTTTGGACAAGTCACAATCTTTGGACCCTTTGTTTACTCATTTGTAAAATGTAAGGTTGAACATGATGATCTACAAGGTCCCTTCTAGCTCTACTATTCAATAGCATGCTTTCTTAACATCTTAATTCAGTAAAAATGATCCAGAAGAATTCATGTTATAATCCCACCTATTCAAATGACCACTGTGGATGATTTCTTTCCCAAGACTTTTTATTGTATTGATTTGTTTATAAAATGCATTAGATTTCATTATTTCATAGTCTTGAAAAATATGCTGATATGAGTTATTGTGGTTATATCACAGAACTATCAAAAATTTTTGACAGTTTTAATATCCTATTAAAGTTCAAGTGATAATTATTTTTGTCCTAATCCTGTCATTCCAATTTGCTCTATTACACCAATGGCTTAGTGACTTCTATAATGCAGTTATTCCCTCCAGTCATGCTGATCACAATTCATTTATGCATAACCATCTCATGCAACTCTTATCAACTCTTAGGGTCTATCTACCCTACAAGGAGCATTTCCTATGTTCTCTAGACACTGCATGAATGCTTCCTATACAATCAATCCGTCCTCTTTCTTTGGTTATGCATGTATTTGGTGAAATTCTTCTATACCACTTGCACAATTCCTTGTCTTGTGCTGAACTCTGTTCCACCCACTATCTACTTCTTCATTGTCTTTAGAAGATTCTCAACTTCAAATCTTTGAAAACTGTCATGTTTCATGATTTGCAGACATACAGCATCACTAGAAGAATTGTTTTGGATTACACCTATGATTTTGAAACTCCCCCTATCATCACAGAGATGTACCTGCTTTGCAACTTATACTTCAGTCTTTGAGAATTACTTAGGGACACTGAGAATTTAAGGTCACACAGCCAGTATGTGCCAGAAGAAGAACTTGAACACAGCTCTTTCTAACTCTGTGCTTAGCTTTCTATCAATTATGTCTCTTAGAAGATACTGGTTTTTTTTTTTAAAAAAAAGGCCTTCATTCCCTGGAGAAGTGTGGAGTCACTAAAAGGACTCTGAATTTTCCAAAGGCCAGTCAGCTGCCCTCTTATTATTCAATGCTGAGCCCATCAAATTATCTACTCATCGTAGCATCTATTCCAAGTGTATATATGTGTATACACATACAGAGAGAGAGAGAGAGAAAGAGAGAAAGAGAGAAAATAGATAGAAAGGCTGGATAGAGAGACAGATAGACAGACAAAATTTGTAAGTATTTCATTCAACTGCATATCATAGTTTGGACACAGGCTTTCTTTATCTGCTAGCTTTTCCTATATGGACCAAAATCTTTTTGAGTGATTACAGATCTCATTCAGGAGACTGCAAAGTGACCAAGCTTGACACAATTAGCAGAATGTGTTCCACAACCAAGAGCTTTGGGAGGACATCATTATCGACTGAGAATGCCTCTTTGAGTTTTGTTCTATATTGGATCTCCTGTATGATTTTGGCAAAAAGTTTTGGCAAGCACATCTACACCTTCTATGGTAATAAGAGTAATCAATCAATGTTATTTATGTCATTATATCTCTCGAAGAATTTCTTGCACAATTTTTACATAAAAATACCTTGCTAGAGAAAAGCCTTTAAAACAGTGCTTTGTTCTACCAAATCAAATTCTTTTTACAGCCAATAAACAAAAAGCAGAGTGAGCACTTAAATTCTCTACATGTTTCAGTTTGTTATGTAATGATGAAGAGTGGTCTAGTGCAGAATGTTACTTGTAAAGTTGGCATATCACCTTCTACTGTCCTCGTAAGGGATGCTTTTGATGTACTTGGATCATTCTTATAAGATATCATATAGATGAGAAAGAAGCATAGGAGCTGATAGTCACCGATACCTCCAGGGGGCAGTGGGAAGTGGCAGCAGCAATATTAAAGTCTGAAAAGTTTTACACAGATTTAGTATATCTTCCTCTCCTTCTACTACCCTGTGAACTGATTTGTAAGTACCTTCACAACTGCATCACATCCAAAAAAAACCTCCTGTAACATGCTTGGTCTGGTCCAGTTGTTTCCCCATCTTTGATTTCTTTGGCACCATTTATATTTCCTGAAAAACTCATCTAATTTAGAAATAAAGGGTGACATCATAAACAAATTAGGGACACATAAAAAGTTACCTGTCAGCTCTACAGATGAGGGAATAGTTCATGACCAAACAACAAATAGAAAGGATGACAGGAGGTAAAACAGACAATTTTGATTACATGAAATTACAAAGGTTTTGTACAAGCAAAACCAATTCAGCCAAAATTAGAAGGAAAGAAGGAATCCAAGGAAAAAATTTACAGCCAATTTCTCTGATAAAGGTCTTATTTCTCAGGTACATAAAAAACTAAGCCAAATTTGTAAGAATAAGAGCCATTCCACAATTGATAAATGGTCAAAAGATATGAACAGGCAATTTTTAGGTGAAGAAATCAAAGCTAGCAACAGCAGTAGAAAAAATACTCTAAATCACTAATAATCAGAGAAATAAAAATTAAAACAACTCTAAGATACTACTTTAAAAACACCAGATTGTCTAATAAGAGAAAAAGAAAATAAATGCTCGAGGGAATGAGGGGAAAAAGTACACTAATGCACTATTGGTGGAGTTGTAAACTGGTTTGACCATTCTCAAGAACAATTTGGAGCTATGCTTAAAGAGTTATAAAACTGTGCATACTCTTTTACCCATCAATACCACTACCACAGCTATATTCCAAAGAGATCAAAGAAAAAAAAGGAAAGGACCCATATGTAGAAAAACATTTATAGCAGCTCTTTTTACGGGGGCAAAGAAATGGAAATTGAGAGGATGACCATCAATTGGAGAATGGCTAAACAAACAAGTTGTGGTATGTGATTATGATGGAAAACTATTGTGCTGTAAACAAATTATGAAGTCGATGGTTTCAGAAAAACCTGGGAAAACCTTATATGAACTGATGCAAAGTGAAGTGAACAAAACTAGAATAACATTGTACACAGTAACAGCAACATTATAATAATGATTAACTATGAAAGACTTAGCTACTGTGATCAATACAATGATCCAAGACAATTTCAAAGGAATCATGATGAAATATACTCTCTACCTCCAGAGAGAGAGAAATAATGAATTCCAAATGCAGACTGAAGCATATTTTCTTCCATTTCCTTTATTTTTCATGCTTTTTAAAAAATTCCACAGCATGGCTAATATGGAAATGTTTTGCATGACTTGATATGTATGAGGGGGAAAAAAGAACATCCAGTATTGCAACATAACAGCTCTGCTGTCCAATGATAAAAAGAGTTTTTGGTTTTTTTTAATAAAGATCTTCACTGATCTTTTCTATATTTCAGACCTGGGGTGAGGGGCAGTTGTAAAGATTCCAGTTTCATCTTTAAATGCTCTTAGGCTGACTGCTGACTTGGGTACTTCTACAAGCTTTCTTGAAACTTATATTTATTTTTACTGTTTCTCTTTCTTTTATGAAGTGGTACTGTTTATGGTCTTCTACTATCCTTTTCTTTAAGATTTTACAAACTAATTCATATTCTCAACGTGTGTTGCCTTGGCTGATATATCTTTCCCCTTGTCAGGGGGATCAAAGTCTTTTCTCATTCCCTACTTTTCAATAACATTTTCCAATATATTTTCACCACCCTCACTTATTTCCATGTTTGCATTGATGTCACCAAGTATTAAAATATATATTGATTTAATTTTAATTTAA